CCCGCTCGCTCGCCCCCGGCTCCGCCCGGTGGGTGCGGGGAGCCGAGCGCCCGGACTCTGCACCCTTGGGCCCGCCGTGCTCCGCTCGGCCGCAGCCTCCCGCCGGCCCATGGACGAGGCCCGGCCTCCGTCGTCGCCGCGGGACGAGCTGCAGCTGTCGGAGCTCCGGCAGCTGCAGGAGGAGCAGACGCCACTCAATGGGGAGCTGCGGGTGCTGCCGTCCCGGGCCGAGGAACCCAGCCCAGCCCAGGTGAGGTTCCCCTCCCGAGGTCCGGGTCCCCTGCGCGCTCTCGGGCGCCCGGCCGCTCGCGGGTTACTAGGACAGCGACGCGCTGAGATCCAAGCCGAGGGAGCGACCTCAGGAGCCCGGGCGCCCTGACTCCGGGCGCTCTGAGACTCTGAAATGCGACCACTCCTTCAAAAAAGTACGAGAGACAGGTGGCTTGTGAAGTTATAGGGAACTTCACTGAATTTTCTTTCTCAAACAGAGAAAAGACTGATTAGATCTCTCCCTCTCTTTCTCTCTTCTTCACCCTTTCCGTCTCTCCCAACTCCCTTTCTCTTGGTCCTTCCATTTCTTCTACTCACCCACAAGCCCACATCCACCTTCTCCTCCCTCTTTCTAAGTGTCCTCCTCTCCCGAACACCTTCTCTTTTCTCCTGCCTTGGTTTTCTTATTCCACAGGGAGCGAGATACAGGAGCAACCAAAGGACAGGACAGCGAGAGTCAGAATGACTGAGGCTGGCCAGAGTGGGCAAATGGGGTGGGCTGAGGAAGGGGAACTTGCTGCCTCCTTTGAAGAGAAATCCTTTCAGTGTTTTTCTCCTAACAACCAGGCTAGCTTCATTTGTTTTTTCTTCCTTTTCATCTCTAAGAAAGCCTTTGGTGGTGTGTTTAGGCTGAACTCTTTTCTGATGCAAGCCTAGCAGTGGTGGAATATTATTCACTCCTGTCTAGTACTTGTAAAACATCAGAGCGTTTGATGTCTGAGTTAACCTCTTCTCCTTAACCGGAAAGATCAGCTCCAGGTATTCTGGAAAGCAGGATCTCCTCATCTCCATAATTTTAGCCTGATCTTCACTGCTTCACTACTACCCATTTGGCTGCCCAATTGATTTTAAGGGAAAGCATTTTGTGGTTTTGTTCCACACTGATTCTTAGAAATACTGGGCAGTAAAGTCTGTTTTTTAATGGGTACTCTAGAGAGTGTATTGGCAGCTTATAACTGAGTGAAAGCAAGCTCCAGGAGAAGGAAGTTAGGGAAAGATGCCTGACCACCAAAGCTTGCAGCCATAGTCTTAAACTCACTGTGACTAGTCGTGGGTGTTAGAAATGCCTGCCTCACATCAGCTTGACCTTGCACACCTCAAACACTCTATGGTTTGAGTTTGTTCTGGTGACCACTTTACCAATAAAAAATGTGCTCCTGGCTCAAGGCTGTCAAATAATGGGACAAACCTGCTGGGCATCTGTGAGGCCAGGAGCAGCTCTGGAAGGAGGTACAGCTGAGGAAGAGCTCAGGCCAAATCCATGCTGGCTGCCAGTGTTTAATTGTTTATCCTTCACCTTGAAGAGATTCATATTCATGTTCTGGTTCCTTATTAGTCAGATATAGACAGCCGAGACTTCCTTGTCCTTGAGCTGAATAGGAAAGCTATGGTGACTGACAGAATGGAACGAAGATGAAGAAGTATTTGAACAGGGAAAACTTAAGAATGAAGGTGGTGGCTGCGTAGAATCCCTCACCTAATGTGTTAGCCATTCCCCGATTCTATGGAATAAATTGTAGTATATTTTAGATTGAAAGATCAATTCATGTGAGGTCATTAAGTGTTGGTCAGCACAAGCCTGTGGTGTTTCAGACTCTTAAGAATTTTTGTATGTAAATCCTTAAAACCATGTATTAACAGTCCCAGTTTTGAGATATAACTTAGATCCATGTACTTAATATTTTTTGAAAACAGGGTCTCACTCTGTAGTTCAGGCTGGTCTTGAGCTCACTGTGTACTCCAGGTTGGCCTTGAACTCTCAGTGATCCTCCTGCCTCAGCCTCCCATGTGCTGGAACTACAGAATGGGATTATAGACCTGGCTTGGTCCATGTGCTTTGATTTTTCTACTATGTGTCATGCACAAATTCTCCTGATACATAAATAGATTCATTCATCACAACACACAGGAGGATGCTGCAAATATTCTGACTGGATAGAGAAAAAGAATTGAGCGAAAAAATTGAGTCTCAGAGAAATTCTTAAAATGCTCAGGTTACTGAACAGTGTCCCTGAAGTTTGAAATCAAATTTTAGAGGTCTCAAATCTATGTTGTTTCCATTGATTCTCTATCTATCTATCTATCTATCTATCTGCATCATCATCTATCACTTAAATATATACAATTTATATTTCTTCATATACAGCTGCCTAAACTAAAAATTATACATTGATAATTTCAGTAAATTAGGCTCCTTATAATCAGGAAACTTAAGTGAACTCTGAGGGGTCAAGTGGCTCTTCTGGCTGACGAGGAAGTCACAGGTGAATGGGTCTGGGGAGAGAGCCCTTCTGTAGTTGCTGGAGGCAGCCAGGCCATATCACTGAGATCTGCCTAGCTGAGAGAGCCAGGCTGTGGGAGAGTACAAAGAGGGCAGAGAGAATGTTTTACCCCTTTTCTCAATCTGGGCTTTGGGTTTAGGAAGAGAGGGATGTTAGTCACTGAGCTCTACTCTGTCTGCTATTACTGTAAACACGTAGTATCACTGGGTCAAAAGTGAAAAGGAAATGGTAGGCAACAGAATGCAACTGTTTTCTTTTTATGGCTTATGACAGGGAAGTTCTGACTCAGAAGTTCTTGGGACATTTCAAGTGATGGTAGTATCGTCATAGAAATGAAAAAGTAGACTGGCAGTTGTGAGCAAGGCTCGTTTGAATGGGCTGGCTGAAAGTTCACCCCACTGCTACACAGTGTTCACTAGCTGAAGACACAGATCAGCTGGCTCTTCTGGGCTTGTCTCAAACACCTGAGCGTATCCCGTCTGTCCATTAAGTTCTTAAGAAATTGCATTTTGTGTTAAAAAAAAAAAAGACACAATTAAGATGAAAAATTAGAGACTTATGTAGTAGGAAAAGTTCCTCTGGTCCATATAGTATCTGCTCCTGATTGAGCAGAAGAGAAAAGTTTTTTTTTTGGATTCAAGAGATGGCCAGTGCTGCTATTGTATTTAGACCTTAATCTAAAGAGAGTTGTGCCTGTTCAGAGGGAGACACTCCAAATCTGGAACCCTTTAATGCAATCGGAGTGCTCAGATGCAGCTTGGAAGTAGCTGTTGAAATCACCTGGTGAAGAATCTGTCCGTAGCCTCCCCTGATTGAGAATTGGGTAGTAGAGTGCAGAAGCCGGTGAAAGAGACATCTAGATCTTCATGGCCCAGTTTAGAGGGAGACTCTGAGAGCACAAGTATCGCACACCTATTACGTCAAGATTCTTCTCCCTTGGGAACTTAGGAATCTCCCAGGAACACTTGTAATAAATTCTGATTCCTTGGTTGATATCAATGTGCGCACAGCCAAGAAGCACTGCGTTTTATTGATTGGTTCAAAGTGTCTGACATCATTGATTTGTTTCAATTTTGGAGACAGAGTCTTGCTGGCCCTGAACTCACTGTGTAGCCTATGCTGGCCTGAAACTCATGGACATCCTTCTGACTCAGCCTCTGGAGAGCTGGGATACAGAGTATTTATAATGAGTTGAAGTCTGTGAAGATTAGTTATACCAGCAAAGTGGTCAGTGGTTTTGCTAGGACAGAGGATGAGACGGAGAAGGACACAGGCCTGTAGGAGGGCAGCTTTGGGCTGAAAAGGAGGAGGGATTTCCTTTAGGCAAACATTGTATAATGCTGGGCTGAGTTGCTCCTGGAAGTTGGAAAGTATTTAATGGTCTTTGCAAACCATTAGCATTCTATGCCTCTAGGGGAGCACACATGGCACTTTAACCTGAAGAGCGATGTGTATATGGGGGAGTGTTCAGAGGAAAGCACCTCAAATCTGGAGCCCTATAACAGGAACAGAGGATACAGGTGCAGCTTGAAAGAGTCTCTGGAAAGCAGCTTGTGAAGAAGCTGCCTGTGGCCTCTCATTCGTGCTTCATTTGAGATAATTTTCTTTGTGACCTGGCTGTCGCTTATGCAAGGACTACAAACAGCAGGGTCTCATTTTGGTCTCAGGAGGTCTGTGAGTGGGAGCTGTGTTTCAGCACCTAGGAGGATAAAGACTCCTTCTACTAAGACCTGTCTTTTTTACATTGCACCTCCTGAACCCTTGGTTTCTGTGGCTTTAGTGCAGTTCTGAGTGGGGTGCACGGAGGCTGCACCCTTGCACCCTAGAAGCACACTTAACTCAGGAGAACTTTCCTCTGTCAAGGTACCAGCACTTTCACCTCTCCCTGCACACCTGTGATATGCCAGACTCAAGGATCCAACCCTTAAGGGTCCTACCACTTGGCTCTTCCTCTGGAATTTCTTAAAGCATATTCGTGCTGTGGAGTGTGGTGGTGCATACTTGTGATCCTACTACTCAGGAGGCTTTGGCAGAGTGGC